CTTGTTACATTTGATATACATAGCATATGTAAAAGTGACTAAAAACATACATTTATTTCCCTTACCCCCATCTTAATTAGCCAAAAATAGGATATTTTATGTCAAAATTTTAAAGCGCTATAAAAAAAAATTGCCCAAGCTCTAAGAATGGGAATTTTTTTTCTGAGACACTATATGATATACCTACTGATTCAGAAAAACCAAAAATTAATTTTCCTTTACTTTTTTCCCGCTAATTTCCTACTGCATTCAGGCTAATAATGAATAGCAAACATGGAGGTTGTGTGTTCGATTCCAACACGAACCATTTTTTTCCCTTTAAGGCAGTTTAGTTGATGGCGGATAATGAATGTATTGTACTCTTTGATAATGTCGCGAAATAACAACAAACAACAACGTGTCATGTCCGAGCCTAGGCCGTCATGGAAGCTCACTTAATCGGCAAAGTTAAACCAGGTTCTACCTGTCGCCGATAGGGTGAGCGATTCTATGGAAACCGAACTTTACCTGGGATAAAGCGGATTTATGTTACAGCCGAATCCACAGTCGTGGTGCTGGTATTGCTCGACGGGGGTTGATGTTCCAATCTAGAGAAGGAAGGGGGTGGGTGCGATTTCACCAACGTATGGCCGATGTCCCCCACAATTGGAAATAGGTGATGTCCCTGATGGAAAGGCCAATTTTCCAGACGGCAAAGTAGGCGGGAACAAGAGGGACGGCCAACACCACTCAAAGGTTGGGTCCCTAAAGAGCGGAACACCTGGAAACTCCCACAATTAGGGATTTCAAAGGAATTATTTAGTCAATTTTAGAGATTTTTTTTCTCCCAGACAAATTTTGCTTTCAGACATGAGAAAGGGAACTCTTGACATCCCCCTCCCCACATCATTGACGCGAAAATTGGCCTTTCCACCGGGGACATCGCCTCTCCCGTCTGGACATCGACACCTGTCGGGGACATCGGCCAATCGTCGGTGGCATCGCACCCACCCCCTTCCAACTTTATTTTGGAACATCAAACCCCCGTCGAGCAAATACCTGAGCACCAAGACTGTGGATCCGATGTCCCCGACCCGGAGGGGCGATGTCCCCGATGGAAAGGCCAATTTTCCTGACGGCAAAATGGGCGGGGACAGGATCCGGCCAAGCACAACTCAGAGGGGATCTAAAGAGCGAATCACTTGGAAACTCCAACGATTAGGGATTTGAAAGGCTTATTAATCAATAGAGGTTTTTCTCCCCAGACAAATTGTGCTCCCAGACATAGAACCCTTGGTACCCCACCGTTGACGCAAATCCCCTTTCCCGTTTAAAGCAAAGTCTGCAGTGATCAACCAACTTGCATTAAATACTATTAAGATGATAAACTTTTCCATTTACATGAGAATTCTTCAACTACTGAGGGCTTTCCTTCTCCCCTCTCATATCGTAGGCCTACCGGCGGCGCCAGCGGTGGGGGCGGGGGTGCTTAAGTTCCCCCACCAGACATGTCAAGCCCCCCCCCCACCTCACATTGGACAAGAGCTCGTCGGGCAGTCAGAGCTAAAACTAAAAACTCAAGTACTATCCTTTCCAAGCCACTGGGGCTCATAGGGCTGGAGCTTATCCCCAGTTTCTGTAGTGTGAAGCGGATGAGAGTTGTACGTATGTCTGAAATGTTTTATACATGAAAACTCAATGGATAATACTGAAAAATGGGCCGAAAGGGCTAAAACAAAATCAACATTGAATGATATATGAGATACAAACATATACCAAAAGCATCTGTTCAGCTTCTCTGTTTAATAAGCTGAATTTTGAATCTGTTAGTTTAAACATGGTTTAAAGATTAAAGCAAGGACTAACCCATTGAATGTGAAGAAAGAAAATATGCATGGTCTAGATGTTAAAGCTGTTTTAAAACGATTTGAGGGAGTGTGTGTTGACAATACCGGGTACATAAGCAAAAATATTTTGAGTTTCAATGTAATTGAGCACGAACTATGTTGACCTAAACTTTTCACTGATAAATTTTTAGTAACGCGTCAGTGAAATAAATATTCACGTAAATACTAAGTACTCTCTAATGACTCAAGTTACTGCATGATCGTTTAAGTTTTTTAATAAAACCAATTTCTTTAATTTTAAATTTACACCTGAATTTATGATAATTCGTTATCACGCATAGATTTGTGCTAATGCATGACAAATTATGGATCACGCATGTGTTTCTGCAAAATGCGTGTTCTATCCAATATCACTTTGAAATGCGGGACCGTCCCGCGATGCGAGACAGTTGGTAACTATGCTATAGATCGACTACAATGTACCTTAATATTTAATACATTTAAATCAATTTTAGATCAATCTTAAAAATGTGATTTTAAATAGCAGAGGCGGACTTAGGTGGGGAGGGGGGAGGTGTGAAAAAAAAGGGAAAAAAAGAAGGAAATAATTGATCGCCCAAACGCATCAGAGGTTATTTTCCGGCGTCTAGAAAACAAAATTTCCTCCAAGATAGTGTTATCTCGATCGTCCCCCTTTTCTCAGGGGCGGATCCAGAAATGTCCAAAAGGGGGGGGCCGGAAGCGGGGGCCGAAAGTTTCGGCCCCGGCCCCTCCCCCTTCGGACATTTCTGGGTTCACCCCTGAATTGGCCTACATGCCAGCAACTAAAGAACATTGTCGTTGTGGAATGATGTGAACATGTATCTACCATGAAGCGCCTCTTTACGGCTGTTAGGTAGGCCTAGTCACGGACCACGCCCATATGCAATTCAGCACAATGACCTGCAAGTTATGGGTTATTCTCCTACCTTTACCCTTTTTTATAGGCTAATTAATATTATGATGTAGCTGGGCACGTATTTTATGGTGATAATTAAAAGAAGAAAAATAGTGGAAGTTTAACATTGTTCTGTGTATATCATTTGAATTTCTTCAATTCCAAACGAATGACCGCTGATTTTCGTGTAATTTTTTTAGTATTTCAAATGAATATGTACCCACTGTTGTCTTCTAATCGGATTAAAATCTGGCCGAATTATGGCCGATATCGAAAAAAAGTTTGGCCGAATTTGGCCGTGAGATGGCGTGTGTTTGGCCGTGAAGTCTGTCGACTATCTGGCAACCCTGATCGGCACCTTTTTATTTAGTTGTGAAAATCATGAGAGTGTTTGGGAAGAAAAATAAGATATCATAAGGGTAAAAAAGTATAATACAATTCCTAATCAACGTAAGTAGGGCTAGGCCTGGCAAAACTTCCTCTTAATGAATATATCATTTGTTTGAGTGAGGGCTAATTTAGATAGATAGGCTTAGTTAGGCTAGGCCTAAAAAAAGACAGTATTCTTGGCCCAGCCCGGAAGCAGGTCAATTCGGCGCCTAATTTATAACTGTATATTTACGAAATAATTACCAAAAGAAATATGAATGCAAAGCCAAACGAGGCTATCCAGAAATTTAAGTGTTTTAAATCATGCCTTTGTTATTCTTTTTTCATTAACAATAATAAAAACAGCATTAATAAAAATAATATTAAAATATATAATAATAAAAAAGGCATATTAATAAAAACTATTGATAATAAAAGATATATGAACATACTGATTTATAGGCATATTAAATATACATTATATATATATATATTTATATATAAGATGGTTTAGATTTTACCTATTATATAATGATTTTTATATACACTACTATATACAGTATATTTACTGTAAATATATAAAATATGTATAATGTACATATAAATTTATATATATGTATATTTAAAATGTTACCTTTATTATATAATGTATATATATATATATATATATATATATATATATATATATATTTAAATATACCTAAGGATAGGTCTAAATATTGGCCTATATATATATATTCAAATATATACATATTTGTTTACTGAGAAAGTTAAAGAAAAAGCAATTTGAGTAACAAAGCTGAATTGGACTTTTCTTTCTCTTTCAAATTTCTTTCATAATTGTTGCATGACTTTTGTGTATTTTCTAAGTTCTTTTCCTTTAAAATAGCTATCCTAATATGTCTCAAATTTGTACTCGGTACTGTACTCAGAAAATCCAATGTAAGTTAACGAAAAGTGAGGAGGGGCTATTTGGGAGTGAAGAGTTGTATGAGATGATTTAAAACTACTGCCAGAAGCAAGTCAATTCTGCCCTTTGCCAACTAAAATCATACCCATAACCAGCTCCCCATAAATATGCCTGGTGAAGTTCCAGTATGATCCAAGTCTTCACAAAACTTGGATCTTATATATTCATAATATATTAAGATAATAATAATAAAATGAAATTGTGAGAATACAACCAATTCAGATACTGTTTTCTGAATTTATATAGGCAATGGGTTTCACAGAGTTTATGGCAAGGAATTTAAGAAAACCAGGAACTGGACTGGCAGGCTGGTTTATATCGGTAATTATGTTGATCATTGTTTTATTAAAAGAAAGGGAACAACTGTATAAAAACTGACCATTAGTTACCATTTTTTACTAAGCTTTAGTAAGCGTCGGGGCTTGATTTAGTACTAGTCTGTCGTACAATTTCTAGTAAAAACTCCTCTGGGCTAGTAAACCTACCTTACTAACCCAGTGTGCCGGTGATTATTTGGTGAGTCGAATGGCTGAGCGGTTAGCAGGGGTGCCGTAAGCTATAGCCATAATATCGGCGCTGGCTCGAACGGCACGCTCGCCTATGGTTCTGGTGGTAGAACAAGTCTTCTCGGATAAGAACTATAAACCGTAGGTCCAGTGTATACAATGGCTCATGTGCACTATAGAGAACCCAGTACATCCTTCGAGACGAGTAAGAGGATACCCCTGTGTACTGGAACAGACACCCCTGTGGTGGACAACAAGAGTTGCTGGTACCGGGTTACCAGGTAGCACAGACACGAAGGGACCCTTAGGGGCGAAGAAAGTCATTGATCAAGTTTCTTGTCCACATATCAAGCGCCCTGAGCATCTTACATTAGATGGATATGTGCGCTATATAAAACTAAACTATTATTATTATTATTATTATTAGTTATAAACTATTGCTTCAAGTATGCTTGGCCATGAATATAATGCTATTGATGTAAAATGTAGCCAGTGAGATTGGGCTAGTATATAGCCAATGGGCTACAGTAGTAAACTAGCCCAGTGGGTTAGTCACCAAAGAAAGTTAAATCAAGCCCTGAGTGTATTACCTTTTAATAATAAATCTTTAATTGTGTATCAATTTAATCATCTTAAACTGTCAAACTATAGACATCGGATTGTGTTACTGTTTTAATGTTCAACATAAGGTTTTTTTTAAATAAAATTTTAAATTTTTTATTCTGTTTCTTTTCCTATAATAGAAAATATTGAAGAGTCGTAATAGTATTGTTGTGTACCATGCTGTGAGAGCATGCAACATCGAGCGTCATCACCATGTGTTGGAAATAGGCTTCGGGCCCGGCCTAGGAATGGCTTCTGTAGCTGAGATAATAAGATCTGGTAAGTATTACAAGCCACTTCTTAGAAATCAATCTGCAAACTGTGGGTCGCAACCCACCAATCCGTCACCAAAGTATTTGGGTGGGTTAAAATATCGGTTAGATATAGGAGTTATCAGTTATATCAGTTAGACGAGTGTTACTTAAGGCCAACTCAGACAATATTGTAGGACGCAGGTCTGTGTGAGGTAAACGCAGACGCGATGGTTTGTGTCGAGGACTGTCGTGTCGTAGTATGTTGCTCCTGACGATGATTCAGGTCAGGCTGCATCCTACGACGCTGTCTGAGTTGGCCTTTAGAGAGCCATACAGAATTTTGGTGTGTATTAAACTTTCCTTGAGAGATATGTTTTTATTTTGGAGGAAAATATTGTTAATTGATATTCAATTCAACGTAACATTTATTTATCTTTTTCCGTATATGTACAGGTTTAAATAAAAAAAGGTAAATATTAATTTTAGAAGAGAGGCAAAAAGCAAAAGCTTGTGTAGGGCTGCCCGAACAAAAAAAAAAGCCAAAAAAAAAAAAAAAAGGAAAAAAAAAAAAAAGGAAAAAATAGTCAATAAAATAAAATATTGACGAATTCATTGCGCCATTATGTGTACTTATGTATACTGCTGTCTGGTTTGAGAGTATTAATTATTTTCTTGATTAAGGCATTTATCTGTGTTTCGTATTCATTCATTGTTTTCATTCATTATTTGTAATTAAAAAAATCTACAAACCTGCAAGGTAGCGGACATTAAAAAACAACCATGCGCCAGTAGGCTAGAAAATCCTATTAACACTGAAAAACAATAGTAAGTGCAAGTATAAACTGCACAAGGTCACATTGGATACACTGTACTAATAATCCAATATATAATCATTAAAGCGTAAGGGAGTGTGACGTTGTCTAGAGGATCGCCTGAGGGGAGGAGGAGAAATCAGTTTGTCAGCCGGAGTGGGAAATGTCGAGGGGGTAATACAGGTGTCTCCAGGGGACCAGTC